ATCTTCCAAATAAGTTTGATACCGACAGAAAGACCTTTGTGGGCAGAAGGCTCAACTGTCGCGGGCGGTAGTCAACCCACACTTTGAGCACCCAACCTCGAGCGTGATAAGCGGCCCCACTTGCCTGTATTTCATCACCGCCCTCATCATCGAATTAGAGTTTCAATTAGTTTATCCTAAGGGCGTTGTGTGCAGGGGCGGAACTTGTGAGTCGACGCAAGATCTACGGAGTACTGTTGCTGTGAAAGGGAGGAGATCCACTCTACTGGCACAAGCTGATTTTCGCAGAACTCTGGAAACATTCCTCTATTGTGGGTCATGCCGTAAAGTAACCCATTCTACTATTTATAATCCGTAAATTCATAAGAGGGGGGAGGGGTCACAGCTGCAAAGGGGCGATTCCAAGGAACGAAACAGACGTGAAGCCAGGGCATGTCCGTTGAGCAAAATTTTTGTTAAGTACACTCCCTGTTCCCCTCCCCGGGAGCGGATTTGGACAGTAAGAACCATATGGAGCATCTTATTGCGACATGCGGGGTGCATGCAGGAGTAGGTCGCTTCAGAGGCAGGGAACACATGGCGGTGAGACGTTCGGCGGGTTTAGTGGGCAATTTGTAGGATTGGTGGAGTTACCGGGTAACTTATACGGGGATTTCTGGAACCATCTTAGACAAAAGGGATTAAAGGGGAGGTGTTGGCAGCACCCGTATAATCTAATGTTCCGTAACCTACTTCTAAAGTTGCCATATGAATCCAGCTTTAACTGAAATAGTACTTATTATATAATGCGATGTAAAGCTAGTCTCATCTCTCAGTTTTGAGAGAATTCTCAAAGGCCAACTTACCGGACTGATTGCTTCTCTTTGAAGGCCTCCAAAAGAGCATCGACATCGCTCAAGATTCCAGTATTAATCAAAGGTACGGTGAAACCATAACGCATAGTTCATGAACCTACAACTAAAATTTCAGTGCTTATACCGACACACTAATAAACAAGAAGTGATTTCCACTCAATGCGCTATTAGCAGCGGTTCCATCATACGGTTGGTTCGCAGCTCTCAACAAAAAGTCCGACCATCGCGTAGGCGGTCGTCCGGATGTTCGTTTGACATCTCGTGGAATCCAGCCGGTAATCGCTCTGATCCGACGGTCACCTTACAAGGGAGGTCTTTGAGGTCGTGGCCGCTGTTTTTTTTAAAAATGGTTATGTTGCTTGTCTGTAGGGTCCATGCAACGTTTACAACAAATGGCCGAGGTTTCATTTTTGCTATGCGTTTCTGGGGAGGTCAAAAACTGAGTGAAAACAATTTGACGAGAAATCGCGATTTTAACCGTGTTAATGGGCTCTGTTGTAGCTGTAACTTTGACAGTGCATAATTCATGAGGTGTCCCTTCACTATGTATTGAAAAGATAGCAAAGTAAAGCCAATAAGAAAGTGGACGGAGGGGAGTAATACCGAAGTTACTTGAACAATTCTCGCAACCTGCTGTTCGCCTGGGTCAGCGGATGGCGGAGTGGATAGTGCTCTCGCGAAGAAGGTTCTTGGATCGGATCCCCTTGGCGACTAACTCTTTGCATTTTTCGGATACTTTATACGTTTTTCGGTTTTGGATTTACGACACCCATTTTTGACCACGGCGCAGCCTAGCGCCGACTTGCTGCAAGAGCATTCTTCCCACTGAATTGTTGCCAACCCGCACGCAGGGGCTGTTAAGCGCTCATCTCGAGGAGAAAATTTTTGCTGAAAGTCTGTATATAGAGGTTATTAATGGCCCTGATGACGATTCTGACCTTTAAAATTGGCGTCTAGGTCATTTTTGGACGCCACATGGCCACCTCTCACGCCAGCTGCGGGTTGGGATGCTGCGAGAATCTCTTGAGAAACTACAATGCTGCCTCACTATGTGCCAAATAAAGTACTTTTTTTTACCTTGAATTGTATTGTTTTCGATGCAGTGTCGACGAAGGTCTCATCTGCTATGCATACTTAACATTATGAATAGAAAAAGCCTCGGAAAAATGGTTCAAAATCGCTTCTCCCCAGCAAACTTTGCACTCAGTTTTTGACCTACCCAGAAACGCATAGCAAAAATGAAACCCATTTTTGTGATCCTTATTCGGACCTCTACAACATGCAACAAATCATTTCCGAAAAGCGCGCCACGACCTGAAAGACCTCCCTTGTTAGTAACGTGTACGTGCCCGACACACCTGGAACCTTGACACATGAAGCCGCGCCTCCGATCTTCGGATCGTCGGCGGAGTCCACAGCTCCGGATTCCCTCTCTTGCGTGTAGCGGGAAACTCCGAACATCACCCTTTCGATGGCGTGTTGAATGCGTGATAATAGGGAACAATGGTACATACGTTAGATGTGAATGGTGAGACAAGGGGCGTCCCAGAACATCCAAACCCTACTGACCAGGGAAGCCCTTGACCAACTTACCGTGGAACTTTGAATGGAGACCTAGATAGATCGATAGAGTCTGCAAGGTTACTCACAAATATAGATAGCAAAACTGCAACCCGCATTTCACAAGTAACTTATGAGCAGGTAAAGTTTGTAACGTGCAGTAGGGTGGAGGCTTGGTGGTGAGCTGTGAAGCATAAGCGAGGAATCGCATACGTCGAACGAATCGTGGTGGTCAGCGGTAGGGCTCGACGTTCGACGACTTGATTCGACATATGCGATTCCTCGCTTATGCTTCACAGCTCACCACCAAGCCTCCACCCTACTGCATCGTTACAAACTTTACCTGCTCATAACTTCCTTGTGAAATGCAGGTTGCAGTTTTGCTATCTATATCTGTAAGTAACCTTATAGACTCTACCGATCTACCCAGGTCTCCATTCGAAGTTCCATGGTAACTTGGCGGACTTACCTGGTGATTAACCAGCTCTCTCGTTAGATTTAGGGTCACGCTTTGGAAGCGCCTGGCCCTCTATCTTCCGCTTACTCATTTCCACCACAGCCTGATCCTATCAGTTGTCATTCTCGTATATTTAATATCCCATATCCGCAAAATCTATGAGCTTAGGGGGAAAAAAGTAGACATACTTGTTTTCTCGCAGCTTTTGTCTCTTATATACATCAGACTGTTCCGAAGCACTGTAAGTACACTGGAAATCCCTGAGATGTGGTAGGCGTGGCTGCGCACTTCAACTGAACGGCTCTTGAAGAGGCATTTTCATTCTGACACAATTGTTCGTGTCTCTGTCCCACACAGAACAAGATACAGTTATCTCAAACTGAAATATCCCATGAGCATGTTGATCAACGATGGTGGGCAAAATAAACGACGGTATGGAAAGTGTTTATTCGTGAAGAGATAATATCATCAAGTTAAGTAAGATAAAGCAAAACCACGTAGTCAACTGATAGAAGTCTATTCTTAAACCCATTTCCTAGAAGACTAAACTTCAGCAAAGATGGCAAAGGGGACATTTAGATTATGCAAAATGTACAGAAACGCAATATGCGAAGAACAGCTACATGTGAATCAAAGGATGTCAAGGTTTTCGGAGGGGAAACTCAGCACCGCAATACCAAAAACATTTGGCTAAGAGTGTCGTGTTAATCTTCAAAAAATAAAGAGAAAAGCACGAGCAATCACAGAAATCAGAAAATGTGCACGTATGTTCTGAAATGTCCATTGAAAGTCAAATGACTGCGAAGAAGACAACATATGTAAACAGATAGAGTTAATAAAACTAATCAAAGATATGGTCAAGCAAAGATCTAATCAAATAAAATAGCAATCATGTAAATAATGAGTTATTTAAAATTAGGATTTGTGAAACCCGACTGTGCATTTCGCATAAACTGTAGTATATCCTTCTTCGTTAATTATTCCCAGTACTTTCCCATTTTTCGTCACTAATACCTAAAAAAAGATATTTTCAAGAGTAATTGTAGGGCCTGAGGAAATTGGTCGATCGAGCAGTGTTATCTACCATATCGTTTGAAAAAGGGCGTTTGGAGCGTCCCCAACCTGTTTTCTACGGATACTGAAGCGCATAAGGCTGCGTTCATACTTTGCGACAGCGTGCAGCAGCGGCCACCAATGTCCAAGAACGTATGGTAAGGTAGGAGGGTAGCATACGGCTGGTAGAGCATGGAAATAGGAGGCAGCAGTCAGCTGGATTAGGCATCGTGAAATTGCGGCGTGTGCAACCGCACCGTGCAACTTAATGCGCAGAATTGTGAGTTTAATATTTATATGGTGCTGTGTACTAGTAGTACGGTGCGGTGTGGCGTTGTGTGGTTGCCAACACCGCAACCCACAGCGCCAATCCAGCAGCCTGCTACCCTCCTGCTTCCCCATACTCACCACTCCTAGACGCTGGTTGTCGTTGATGGACACTGCTGCAGGATGAACACTGCCTTAGGGGCAACAAGTGGTAATTTACTGGTACGAACGATATGTTAAAGTCTTGTCGCCTACTCCCGTTAACAACTGGTGAAGAACGGGTTCGTACCCAGCCAAACCCAGACCCCTTTAAACGCCCCCTACACTCTACAATTAAATTTCTAGCAACTCACTTGTCGCAAACCGAGCTTTCTGAACATATCAATGACGGTCTCCATTGGGGTCTGATCGGTTACTGCCATCGGGGCCTGAAATGGTTATAAAAAAAGCTGTTATAAATCATTGCTGACAGGGCAAAGGCATGGTGGTCGAAGTGGCCATTTAGACAATGGATGCATACACCTTATGTGCTCTTTGAACGGCGGATTCAATCTGCTTCTCCATATTCTGCTAACGATTCTCCTGCAGAAGAGGGATAGTGGTCAAGGAGGTTGTTTGTACGTGAGCACAAGTTGAGCATGGTAACACAAATGAGACGTGAGTCGCGCACGAGTGCGTCGGTGGCTAGTGGTAGTGTTGCGCGGCTCAACGTTACGACGGTGAGAGGTTCAATCCCTCCATGGATCCTTTTGCCATTTCTGCCATTTTCTCAAAAATGCCTCCTGCACAATTCGGGAAAGCCACTTCTGCGAGGCTAGGAGACCTGATTCTAAAAATTTTATTTCTGATGTGATAGAGCCATTCTGGAACACTCCTAGTGGGAACTCCTGATTGTTGGTTTCGGCGGCATTATTCGTTCCGTCGTGTTGTGAGGCCAAACTGATTCCAGATGGCATAGAAATCAAAAGAGGTGTGTGGTTGTTATCAGGACCGTCAGTAACCAACAAGGACTAAGATTTAGCGAGAACCTCCACTGCTCACAGAGATTTGAATCGGCGATAGTGCCAGCAACCTTTAGGAATTGGCTGCCTATGGTTACCCCACTGTATCGAAAATAGGTCGAAATCTCAAATTTGGTTGAAAACTTGTCTCTAGGGCTAATTTGAGCCCCAGAGCACGAATATCACACTCGTTCGGCGTAAAAACGCTTGCCAAGGACGTTGCAGGTTCCTGCACACCCTGCCCCTCCAGAATGCGTACAAGACGTTTTCACGAAATATAACTGCAGTGTTGATTTCCAGGGCACTGAAGCACCTCTAGTTTCAGATTCCAGCCAATTTGGGCAATTTGGAGCACCTCAAAATACATGCTGGAAATGGGTGTGACCTGTCAAAATCCTGCATAACTTTGTCCAGGAAATCGTTTAGCAGATATGGAGGGCAGATTTGTAATCAGCGTCCAAGGGCCCATCGGGCAGTATACGTCTCATTTCGAATGGCCACTTCGACCAACCATCCTCCTTGTGAGGAGTTAAGCCGTCGATGAAGGGGAATCGGGAGAATCGCGGGAACGTCAGAATCGCATGCAGTGATAGATCTTTTCCGACAATCCGCGTAAAGCGCACACAGGGCGCGCGACTGAACAATCGGTTCTCACCTAGACTTCTCGCTGGTTCTCATGTTTCCGCGATTCTCCGATTTTACTAAGAGGAGAATTTCAGTTAACACGAATAGAATCCTCTGTTTTATCAAAGTCGTTGTGCGCGAATGCAGGCCAAGAGTACAAAAGAAATATCAGTGAGTAGCCAAACGTACGAGATCTATTATTTTCCTTAGCCTGAGTGGAGCTGGACCTCCTGCTGTTGATTCCGGAACTTGGTTAGTAAAGTAAGCTATAGAATCTGTCACGACATGATTGGTTCGAGTTTTGCGTTGCTGCATGTAGCGACCAGTTGTAAGTCACGCTGAAACAGAAACCTGTGAAATCGAAAGTCCGATGTCTCCATACGTATGGGTCATTTCACCTTTGATAACTAGGTCAAACAAAGCACATGCGGGACGGTCATCGAAACTTGTAAGACCTAACTCACCGGGTAACGAATCCAACCAAGTACATGCTATTTCTGGATACAACTACGGGGAATCCATTGTAGTTAGACTCACGCAACAGTTGTTCAATGTCACCAACGGACATCCCATCCTAAAAGAAGAGTAACTTCAATGCAAAACGGAACCCCGGAAGAAATTCTACATAAGCAGTCGGGGATTGACCGAAATGTCAAATAGCGCATTTACCTGGACTATCACAGCAAGTTCAGTTCGTTCTTGGTGATTCTCTGGAGCATTGCTAGAAGTGGCAGTAGCACTTGCACTGGACGCAATCACTCTTGATTGCTTATTAGCAATATAAAGGCATATTAATTACTGGGCATCACAATGACCCTACTCCACTAATACGACTCCAGAACGTTAAGGAAAAAATTACGCTGAAACTTCGCCTATAAAGGTCATTAGGTACCTAACCACGTACATGACACTTGTTTTCGGCTGGCGCAAATTTGTCGCGGCCGCCTTTTTCACCAAAATCGATGAAAACTTGAACGATAGCGCTGTTTGATAGTCCGATCACATTGGCCTTCGTTTCGAACGGCGCGATTTCGCACACTGCTAAGGCTGCGTCTGGGAGGAGCAGTGGTTCCCCAACCGCCATCCTCGGCCTTAGCAGAGCGCTGCCCTATGTTAGCGCTGGGTAAATATTATATTCGTGATCAAGACGCCATAACCTTAGCATACAAGCATGAACAATTTTTGGTGCAAAGGCCGTTGTGCCGATTGGTGCCAGCGCCAAAATGAATATGATTTTCGTCAACACTTTTATGCAAGTTCCCATCGATATTGATGACAAGGTGGTAGCGCCAAATGGCGCCAGCGCTGAAAGTGGATACCATATTCGTAGTCGGAGCTCAAAAAACGCTGATAGGCGAAGTTTCAAAGGAATTTTCTGTTTTGGAGGCGTAATAGTAGAGCAGTGCTCAATAAATGCAGGCCATGTTACAAACTTTGAAACCACGCAGACCTGTATAGCAATAGTTGAGTAAGGATATTCCTCTTTGTTATCCAGGAATGGATAGACCATTTCAGTCTCACATGTAGAGCATCGTATATGCCCTAAAACCTCCAAACCACTGAGCTCAAGTGAAATTCGAGAAAAAAAAAGAAGGGTCCATCAGTAGAAGCTATCGCAATGAAACATGTGCTATCAAGACACGCCTAATTATGAAAGCGGGCACTAACGGTTTTGCATATGGCATCGCCAATCCATTTAGAAAACATTGTAGCCACCATCGTCGGCACAATGAATTCCAGACTACCAGTCAGCTCGAACATAATAACCACAAGTGATACGGTCATTCTGAATAGGAAAAGGTAAATGAAAAGAAAAGACCTGAAGATAAAAGTAGGCCAAGATTCAGCAAAAAAAAATCGGAATAGAGACAATACTAACCTAGTCACACCACCTAGCACTGCCGCTGCACCGACCATAGCATAGAGTCCAGGCATAACGCAGTCTTTCCCAATCTGACAAGACCAGTAAGTCGAGTGACCACTCTGCATCTGTAGTGAAGAAGAACGTTAGAAATTTGGGAACAATAAAAAGAAAATAAAGAAAACAATTGAATTGGAAAACACCCTAAAAGAAAGGTGGCTTGTCCAGAACAACCTATCAATATTCTGTGCCGTTTCGGAAGCTAACTCTTCAAACTACCTGAAAGCTGCGAAACACGCTTTCCATACTCATTCCAGTAAGTCGTCCAGCAATAGCACCCATTCGCGATTGAAACGCGTACAAACACAAGCCACAAGGAACCTAGAAGAGATCAGAGTAACACCACCACAATGAGCTCGTGACATTAATCAGCTGTCCCACCTTGATACCAAATGTGAAAATAGTGAACACAAACTTAAAAATGAGAGCCATTATTAGATCCCAGAAAGCACTCTGAAATGAACAATCTTGCCAACAAACCTAGTCAAAAAGAAGCATGAAATGAAAGCTCACCCGCACTCCACTTCCAAATACTCCAGTATGATAATTGTCATCAACTTTATTACTTGAAAAAGTTTTATTCTGGTAGTCACAAAGATTCTGCATATAGTCTTCAGGACCACATCGGTCAAAGAGCTGCAACCAGTATTATGTTTCAGAACAGAGAAAAGCAGGAAGCACAACTATTTTTGAAAGTTCTTCCCCTTAACAAATGTGTATTTCAATTGCTCATTTTTTTGGCTATAATATTCTTTATAAAGTCTGCTGTGTACGAATCGAAACCCACTGGCACGCACTCTTATTTTCTTGCACAGATTTCAGAGTCTAATGTACATTTTACAGGAACGTGGAGATTCCGAACATAACAGCATTTTTTCAGTATTTTCCGTAAATTCGTAAATTCAACCCTGGCAGGTTTTCGGACACCACTTGTGAACATAAATAATTGTCAAAGATAATAGCAAACGAAAAAATAAAAACGAACTAAGGAAGAAGAAGCACATTCGCGGCGTTCGGGAATAACGTGCTGCCCTCACAGCATGCAGCCTTTAATACTCCAGTGAATAGGGCTCTGATATTCGTAGTGAGAGAGAGATAGTGTGATCAGTTAAAGACAGCCCCGCGATCAAAGTGGCTCGTGGTCGCCTTTGCTGTGCAAGTAGTCTAGCCTCCAAGCTAGAAGACTGTTCACCTTTCGCGACTCTATTGTGAGCGTGGAGGCTGCTATAGCCGCTCAAAGTGCTAGTTCTAACTCCTCCTCAGTCGGACCGCCTTTACTTGCTAGATGTCCTTCGACGGAGGAGGCCACTCACTTGTTCTTAGTTGGGGCGGCGGGCATTGCTAATGCCCCTGGATAATTCTGCTCTCCTTCATTACAGTTTACTCATTGGAGGTATATACATTCAATTCAACCCATTTCGCGAGGTGAAACGCGTAAAAAACACGAGTGACGCAATTTTCGTGATGCAAAACCACGACGCACAAAAGGTGCGCTACCGTAATCACAAATTCAGACACCGTGTTGATAAAATTCCTTTTTCCTTCCCAGAGTTTTTCCTCTGCGTTTTTGTTGTTTTCTTTTTGTATTCTTTCTTTTGCACTGGATGATATCAACTACTGCGAGATGTGATAGAGAGACTTGTGAGCTAGGGGCTGCACAGAGACCGCAGGGAGGTGTAACTGTGAGGGAGCGATTTTGTTTGTTGTTCTGAGAACGCTTCTTGCCTGTTTTCTTCTTTGGGAGATTACTTATCAGCTGCTGTTTCATAATTGGAAAGCAGCTATCCATGAGACTTTTATCGCGGGAGCTGTCTTTAAGTAGGAAATCATCATCGAAGGAATGGAGGAGAACATCGGCCTTCTAAGAAGGCACCATGAATTATGAATGGCTCACGCGGCGATCTCCCCAGCAAGTTCGTGCAGATCGTGGTAGGAGAAGGGTCACCTTATAGAAACTGAATTTAATCCACTCCTGTGAGGGTAACCTCAGTGCGATCATCTAGCAAAATGTTGGATACAGGGTACAGGCATCATGGCGTGAAACAGATAGGGGGGCGCACTATTCCGCTGGCGGACGGGGGCCGTCGTAAGTGTCGTTTGCTTGGAGGAGGGGGGACAGGGAAAATCGTTGTTGGTCATGCACGGAGAGGGGGGGGGGTCGTATGTGCTTAGAGGAATTGCCACGTGAAGAAAAAATTTTTGGTCGCTGACACGATTTTTTTTTCTGTTTCGTGTGTTTACTGTATTACCCCGCCCCCGGACCAACGACACGCGTACGATATAGTACATTTTGGGAACAAGTGGTAGGAAGTTGGGGGGAAATTTGAGAAATTCTTCCGCTCCACATTGTCTATATACCCCCCCCCTTGCTCGAATGTTTGGGTGAAAAACTGGAAGGTAGCAGTTGGGGAAGGGTCCGTCAAGGCCTTCCTTTGAGGGGGGGGGGTTCGTACTGTACTGACACCTTCACTTCACACCATCATGATGCTGTGTCCTGGATGGATACACATGAAACAAAAGAAAGAGAGGTGCACTATATGAAACAGTCTAAAAAAACCTATAAAACTACTGCGTCAAGCACGTCGTATTCTTAATAGTTGAGCTTTACCGGTGTAGAAACATTTACGAACCTGTTTGATCATGCTCGAAGCACTCTTCCTCATGTATGGATTGAAGTATGAGATAGCAGCAGTGAGAAAAGTTACAACTATGACTTCGTAAATTGGATTGCCACCGAGAGTTTTCGATGTTTTTCGGAAGCGAGACCATCTTAAAAGGCAGATCTTGTCGGACGGCAGACGAAAAAGAAGCAAAGAAAAATAACAAATCAGGGAACAAAAATTTCGACAGACGTATCGGAAGCATAGCACTATTCTACTAGTTCGACTCCGAAACCCCAAAAAGATTTCTTCGCGAAACTCAACCTGTAGATGTTATTCGGTGATTTGGAATTCTGCTTTTGGCGCCATTTGATGCCGACATGGCGCCACCACTTCGCTCACAAAAATCGGTGAAAACTCGTATTTTACATCCATGATCATGAGTATGACATTCATTCTTGATGCCGGTCACTAACGTATAGCACTCTGATAACGTGCGCTCGCCTGAGGATGAGCCTGGTGGGAAAGGAATCACCCAGCCGAGAATCACCGAGCCTCAGCAGAAAGCGTTTGTGCCGTTATAAACGTTATACCCGGTGATCAGAATATCAATCAATCCTATTATGCAAGTTTCCATATATTATGGTGAAATAAGTGGTGAGGCCAATTGACGGCAACGCCAAAAACGAGCGTGATATTCGTGACCAAGTGTCAAATAACCCCCGTAAACAGATTTACATCGATTCTGGTGAAAAACGAGGTGACGGAACCAAATAAGGCCAACGGCAGAAATGATTATCATATTTGGAATCAGGGCACCGGATAACCTCTGAAGGCAGAGTTTCAGAGAAAAACAAATTGTGAAGCCCTAAGTGGAATAGTGCCCGGAAAACCTAGACGTCGATAGAGACAGGAATTTATTATCTCAAAAATGACTAACCTTATATTACCAAAAATGAACAGACTTCCAAGTATTCCTCCAAAAAGGCCTAAACCAGCAAAAGGGATAAGCTCCACAAATGT